TGTGAACATGGAAGGAGGGGAGAACATGGAAGGATGAGAGAACATGGAAGGATGAGAGAACATGGAAGAGCATAGAAGGATGAGAGAACATGGAAGGATATGAGAACATGGAAGGATGAGAGAACATGGAAGGATGAGAGAACATGGAAGGATGAGAGAATATAGAAGGATGGGAGAACATGGAAGGATGAGAGAACATGGAAGGATGAGAGAACATGGAAGGATGGGAGAACATGGAAGGATGAGAGAATATAGAAGGATGGGAGAACATGGAAGAGCATAGAAGAGCATAGAAGGATGAGAGAACATGGAAGGATAGGAGAACATGGAAGGATGAGAGAACATGGAAGGATGAGAGAACATGGAAGGATAGGAGAACATGGAAGGATGAGAGAACATGGAAGGATGAGAGAACATGGAAGGATGGGAGAACATGGAAGGATGAGAAAATATAGAAGGATGGGAGAACATGGAAGAGCATAGAAGGATAAGAGAACATGTAAGGATGGGGGAATGTGGAAGGATGGGAGAACATGGAAGGATGTGAGAATATAAAAGGATGAGAGAACACACCGATGTACTGTTGTCATATTCAAATTATATACTATTCTCTGATCTAGCAATTTACATACCTCCATCTTGGATCTGATGCTGGAGAACCTGAAATACTGTAAGGTAAGATCACGGATCTCATATGTGATGGAAGGATCCCTCTTTTCAGCAGCAGGAGCAGGGATCTGAACAGCGTATCCATTTCTACAGAGTACCAGCAGCATGTTCTGCTCCTGCAATGCGTGTCGAGAAGCCAATGTCAGTTTAAAGGAGAGCCGGGAGAAGGTTGTAAACCTGTGGATTTGCCCAAATAAGGAACTAAAACTTTCTTGATATTTTAGAGGAAATTGTACCTAACTATAGCTAGAGAGTTGCAGGGTGGCGAGGATTGTTATACCTTTCATCTGACAAAACAATATTATACTGTGACATTATGCTTGTAGACTTGGGGAGAGGAATACTTTACTTGGGGTTTATAAAATTTCATGAAAACCAGATGATAATTCTCAATGTGATTTAATTATCCACTTGCCAATTTTTGGGATTTGTGATTCAACCCCAAGTCATAACCCATTCATAAGAACTAGAGTCCCTGGGATAACATTGTACCTCCCATTTTCTATATTTTAATGCGAAGTGTAAAGTGCTAAGCTCACTCAGATAGAACATTATTATCAAGTGATACCTCCTTCATTGTACACAGAGCATAATGACATCTAAATTACTGATGGTGGGGATCATTTAAAAGAGAAAACAAGATACCTTGTCGTATGTGCATACCACCAATCTGTACAGTCACCTACATGCCATGTCCTACTGTCATTAATTTACCAACCCTTAAGCAAGGTTCATGGTAACCTGTCATTGACAGTATGGATTGCACACTATCAGACCCAGTATAAGTACCCTGACAGACATGCGAGACTAGCCCGCAAAAGCCTGTGAGTTACTCATTGTTTTTATTATGTTTTCTCACTCAACTAATATAACGAAACGAATAGCCAGTTAACCTAGCTTGTGTCACTCACTATTACTGATTTCTTACTCACTGGCTTATCGTTTATTATAACATTGTGACATTGTGTTGATTTAACGTGCCTGCAAAGACCTGATTTTGCTGTTGTGGCATTACACGTCAGCGTGCACTTATATGCACCCAAAAAAAATAAATAGAGAAAACAAGGATACAGTCTATTCTACATTGTCTCCCAGAACTCACGTGAGACGATGGAGACCAGTGAAGCTCGGTCACGGGACCTGGAACACGGACAAATCCAATAGGCTCATATTTATCTCCAACAGCAAAGAAAAAAACTGTTTTGTCGTCACTCTGTAAGATGAAAACAAATAAAAATCAAATGATACTCCCATTCTTAGTCTGGATCAGACTGTTTATCATAATAGTGAGAGCTCTGCAAATGATTCCATTTATACCTGTTTATAATACAGTACATACTGTAGTAGTTTGTGTTTTTATAATTCTCTTTTTAAATTCATGCTGCATTTTACTCTTTCGCTTTATAACTTTGCCACGACTGCTGGATATTGGGTTTAACAATTCCTTATTCCATGAAACACCTGACACTGGATGTTAGGAATCGAAAAGTTCTATTTTTCTGCTGAACTATAAATTTGCTTTAGATTTTCCCATGGTGCTGAGCATGTAGATCACACCAAAGGTTATCTATCATTGGTTTAGAACATGCCATACAATGTGTCACAGCACAACTTCTACATAAATAAACAAAATGAGATTAACAGAGGTCGTTACCCCGGTGGCGAGGATTTCTCCATTGCGCTCATATGCAAGAGCTGTGACAGACGCAGTGTGTGGTTTGAAGGCCTGCTTCAGGCTGATCTCGGCATCTTGAGTACCTTTGCGCCCCGCCACAAGTCTTAACCCAAGGGGACTGTAAACTTCCAGAATACGCACAACGCCATCTTCAAATCCAACCACGAACAAGCCGCCTTTGGGATTGACCTGCATTCAATAGTAATTCTTTCCGTCAATAAACAATCAGAGCCATAATACTATAATAAGCATAGACACAGGGTTTTTTGGTAAACGCCATCAACGTACTACCACCACCACAAAATCTCCAGATAATATAATGCTGTAAATGTAACACCTGATAAAAAAATAAACATCTCTATGCTCCCCAAATAGTGGCTATACTGTAATAAAGAAAATACTCTGACATCATTGTGTTGCTTGGGGATGGGCCTTTAGGGGCTGGAGTCCCATATGTGGTTGTAGAGCCCCTAATCTCTAAAGTTGGTGGAAGGAGGATATGAATGTTTTGTTTCTGTTTTTATTTGAAGCTAGAACGTGCCAGGAAAGAACCCTGTAACGCACTAATTCGAGAATGTGGGGAAAACAGCTGTCAGTGAAGAACCAGGAAATATGGTTAGAAACTGCTGATGCTGGCTAGAATCTTGTTGGCATAAGCTATAACCTGCCAGTGCAGTCCAGGTGCTGTGGATGCGAGCAGCAATCTTCAACGTGAGTAGGACTTACTGTTGTGATTAGTGCTGGGTCCCAAAATCTGTTGATGTAAACTAGGACATACCAGTGTCGGGGTAAAGTAATGTTGAAAGGATCAGGAACCTGTTGATGTGAGCTAGTTCCTGCCCTGCAAGCCTTGGTGTAAGCCTACTGATGCGAGTGGAAGTCTACCCGTGATGTACCATTTGTTTACGTGATATAAAATCAGTGTAGGGTTGTAGCTGATCCCCTGATGTGCAATACAAGTCAAATTGTAGACCATAACACGGTTGCAAGAATCATACAGTGTAAGGTAGATTATCCTCACATAGGATCTGGCTCAATTTTAGGTTCACCAACCCTTTTACAGCCCGTTTAAGAATCCTAATCCCACTATAAATGGATCCGGAGATCTCCTTTGCATGCTACCACTGACCGAAAACCAGGTACTCACCATACGAGGAGCCCAAACTAAGAAAGTGCCTCCTTTTTTGAATTTCATCTCAGCTAAAGGATTCTTTCCAACAAAGTCATAGATTCGGACAGAGCCTTCAGCAGGAAAACAGGAAGAAGAGGATTAATATCTCAGACTGTGGATAGGTCCTATTTATAATACATTTTCTGCTTAAAAAGAGGCGTGGACACTTTTTTAGATTCACCAAATAAATATAAGCAAGGAGACACAATGAGTCTATGAAAATAATTAGAGAAATGGACAGAAGAAAAAGAACAACATTGCAGCAGTTAGAACCCGTAAATAAAATGGAAATTGTATTGCAATCCCAGCTTCATGTGTACTTACGGTCAAGCGATATAGAGGCCATGAGGTGTGTGGAAGGAGACGCATCCAAGGATGTAATGTTCCGTGAATGGAATGAAAAAAGACGTTCAGGGTCCTGGGTCTGAGGAAAGCAATCATCCAGAATTTAAGTTGTTTATTTAACATGGAAAGTAAATAGTAGAAATTAGGCTGCATTAACCCCTTAAGGACTGAGCCAAATGTACACGTTGTAAACAAAGCAAAATGTAAACAAAACCTGGCATTTGCGCTGCATGTCTGTCCAACCATAATTCACCTCTTTCATATGCATCCACCCTTATTATATATCATTTTATTCAGGGGAAACAGGGCTTTCATTTATAATCAAATTTTTAGCTATGAAACATAATTTAATATGAAAAAAAAATGGGAGAAAATAAGATTTTTTTACATTTTTTTAGTTCTACATGACATTTTAACTGTCAATGTCATAATACTGTTTGCTTATACTGCAATAAAATACACATATTTGTATTCAGCAAAGTCTCACGTGTAAAACAGTACCCCCTATGTACAGGTTTTATGGCGTTTTGGGAAGTTACAGGGTCAAATATAGCGCGTTACATTTGAAATTGAAATTCGCCAGATAGGTTACGTTGCCTTTGGGACTTTATAGTAGCCCAGGAATGAAATATTCTCGTAGCACCTCTGGGCCTAGCTGGTTTGAGGCACATCCCTTGCCTGGCGCATGTGCTGAATTTGGTGGTGCAGAAATTCCTGAAAAACTACCCAGATATATCAGAGCTGCTGCAGAAAGTGCGGGCCGTCTGTGCGCGCTTTCGGCGTTCTCACCCTGCTGCTGCTCGCCTGTCTGCACTGCAGTGCAACTTCTCCTTCCCACTCACCACCTCATATGCGACGTGCCCACAAGGTGGAACTCCACCTTGCACATGCTGGAGAGACTGTGCTAGCAGCAGCAGGCGATAGTGGAGTTTCAGCTGCAGCACGCACGGGTCAGTCGCTCTGCACCAGACGTGCCCTCCAATCCTCGTTAAAGGATTTAAAGTGTACTCATTCCAATTACAGGGCCTCGAAAGAGTCCTGTATTGTTATTTATCGTCACTACCTCCCCGCGTCGGGAGTGGGTAATTTGCGCGCCTGCTGCCTTCCTTGGATGTGGTAGCCGTTTCTCAGGCTCCCTCTCCGGAATCGAACCCTGATTCCCCGTTACCCGTGGTCACCATGGTAGGCGCAGAAAGTACCATCGAAAGTTGATAGGGCAGACATCCGAATGCGTTGTCGCCGTCAGGGGGACGTGCGATCGGGCCGAGGTTATCTAGAGTCACCAAAGTGCCTGCGCAACGACTGCCGAGTTGCCCACATTCTAACTTGTGCTGATTACTGAGTGGCCACCCTGCTGGATCCCCGTTACAAGGACAACGTGCCGTCCTTAATTCCCTCACTGGAGCGTGAACGAAAGATGCGCGACTAGAAAAAAGCACACGCTAGTAGACGCGCTGCTGAAGGCACTCCCAACTGACACCGGGGGCTAAGTGGAAGCACAAGGCGAAGGCAGAGGAGGAGGAAGAGGTCGCCAACACAGCTAGGGCACTGCCAGCACCTCAGAAGGCAGGGTTAGTATGGCCGAAATGTGGAAAGCTTTGTCAGCACGCCACAACAACCAGCACCACCAGCTGATATGGAACGTCTTAGCAGGAGGCAGCATTTCAGCAACATGGTGGAACAGTACGTGTGCACACACCTACACGTACTGACTGATGGGTCTGCCCCATTCAACTTCTGGGTTTCCAAATTGGGCACATGGCCTGAGATTGCCCTTTATGCCTTAGAGGTGCTGGCCTGCCCTGCAGCCAGTGTATTGTCTGAACGTGTGTTTAGCACGGCAGGGGGCGTAATCACAGACAAGCGCAGCCGCCTGTCCACAGCCAACGTGGACAAGCTCACATTTATTAAAATGAACCAGGCATGGATCACACCAGACTTGTCTGTACCTTGTGCAGAATAGACATTTACACCGGCCTCACCCAGCCATTGTTATACTCAAGTGCACTTATTCTTTGTTTTCTTTTTTTATAGGTCCCAATATTTTGGGGGCTACCCATAATTGTTTGCAGGGCACTTGTCCTACTATTACCCCCATTTTACTTTCTTTTGCAGCCCTCCAACCCTTTCCAGGACTTTTTTAGAGCCATTTTAGTGCCCAAAAGTTCGGGTCCCCATTGACTTCAATGGGGTTCGGGGTCAAGTTCGAGGCCGAACTCGAACTTTTTGCCGATGTTCAGCCGAACCTGGCGAACCCGAACATCCAGGTGTCCGCTCATCTCTACTTGCAATGCTTCCTTTCAGTATTCCCGAACGTCCTGTCATTTTAGACAAAACGCTGATCTACCAACACAAAGATCAGGGCACAAAATAAATATGCAAAAATGGGCAAAATGGGGATCTTAGGGACATTTGGGGATGACAAGAGGGACAATTAGATGTAGTGGAGTCAGGAGGGGGGTTAAAAAACAAAACAGGATTCGGCCATGACAGTCCCGCTTTAATATGTAAAACTATTACTGTATATCAATTGTGATATACATTTAAATTACTTATCATATATAGAACTATTATTACATGGGGCTATCAAAAAACTCAACTATGATTAGTGTGGAAACAGCTTAGCATTATCGATGTACACGTATGCAAATGAACAGAGCTATCTTCTGCCTGATGATCTCTGATGACCATAGCTTATTAAGTATAGTTGATATGTATCAGATTTTGGGTTGAAACTTACTATATTTGAAAAGGAGAGATCCAGCTTCCAAATAGCACCATTTGCATCCTGTTGGTACATAATTTAAGAGATATTTGACATTGAATTATTCATCATAACCTAGTCAGTGACAACATGTATTATTACATAAACCCATCTTGCATACTTTCTTCAAAAATAAGTAATATGTGATTAGATTTTAGTTTTTGGTTGGTTAAATGTTACTTCCAAGAACTTTCGATGCCTCCTTTGCCCCCTCCCTCACAACCTAAAATAGTTTTGGGTGATTTCTGAAGGTAAAATTACCAATGAGGCTTATTCGCAATTTGCCACATGATTGCCTGAGCTAATCTAAGCAAATAAAACTTTAGAATGTTTGACAGAGTGTGAAAACTATTTTAAAAAAAACAAAAACAGAACTGTGCTAAGAAAATAATAAAAAAATACAAAATAATGGTTTTCAAAGGCATCAGTAGGGGAGAGATAGGGGCCCAAACGTGAGCATTCATACCTGGGATATTAATATGGGGGATTCTGGCTCTCATACCTGAGATATTAATATGGGGGATTCTGGCTCTCATACCTGGGATATTAATATGGGGGATTCTGGCTCTCATACCTGGGATATTAATATGGGGATTCTGGCTCTCATACCTGAGATATTAATATGGGGGATTCTGGCTCTCATACCTGGGATATTAATATGGGGGATTCTGGCTCTCATACCTGGGATATTAATATGGGGGATTCTGGCTCTCATACCTGGGATATTAATATGGGGGATTCTGGCTCTCATACCTGGGATATTAATATGGGGGATTCTGGTTCTCATACCTGGGATATTAATATGGGGGATTCTGGTTCTCATACCTGGGATATTAATATGGGGGATTCTGGTTCTCATACCTGAGATATTAATATGGGGGATTCTGGCTCTCATACCTGGGATATTAATATGGGGGATTCTGGTTCTCATACCTGGGATATTAATATGGGGGATTCTGGCTCTCATACCTGGGATATTAATATGGGGGATTCTGGCTCTCATACCTGGGATATTAATATGGGGGATTCTGGTTCTCATACCTGGGATATTAATATGGGGGATTCTGGCTCTCATACCTGGGATATTAATATGGGGGATTCTGGCTCTCATACCTGGGATATTAATATGGGGGATTCTGGCTCTCATACCTGGGATATTAATATGGGGATTCTGGCTCTCATACCTGAGATATTAATATAGGGGATTCTGGCTCTCATACCTGGGATATTAATATGGGGGATTCTGGCTCTCATACCTGAGATATTAATATAGGGGATTCTGGCTCTCATACCTGGGATATTAATATGGGGGATTCTGGCTCTCATACCTGGGATATTAATATGGGGGATTCTGGCTCTCATACCTGGGATATTAATATGGGGGATTCTGGTTCTCATACCTGGGATATTAATATGGGGGATTCTGGTTCTCATACCTGGGATATTAATATGGGGGATTCTGGTTCTCATACCTGGGATATTAATATGGGGGATTCTGGTTCTCATACCTGGGATATTAATATGGGGGATTCTGGCTCTCATACCTGGGATATTAATATGGGGGATTCTGGCTCTCATACCTGGGATATTAATATGGGGGATTCTGGCTCTCATACCTGGGATATTAATATGGGGGATTCTGGTTCTCATACCTGGGATATTAATATGGGGGATTCTGGCTCTCATACCTGGGATATTAATATGGGAGATTCTGGTTCTCATACCTGGGATATTAATATGGGGGATTCTGGTTCTCATACCTGGGATATTAATATGGGGGATTCTGGTTCTCATACCTGGGATATTAATATGGGGGATTCTGGTTCTCATACCTGGGATATTAATATGGGGGATTCTGGCTCCCATACCTGAGATATTAATATGGGGGATTCTGGTTCTCATACCTGGGATATTAATATGGGGGATTCTGGTTCTCATACCTGGGATATTAATATGGGGGATTCTGGCTCTCATACCTGGGATATTAATATGGGGGATTCTGGCTCTCATACCTGGGATATTAATATGGGGGATTCTGGTTCTCATACCTGGGATATTAATATGGGGGATTCTGGCTCTCATACCTGGGATATTAATATGGGGGATTCTGGCTCTCATACCTGGGATATTAATATGGGGGATTCTGGCTCTCATACCTGGGATATTAATATGGGGGATTCTGGTTCTCATACCTGGGATATTAATATGGGGGATTCTGGTTCTCATACCTGAGATATTAATATGGGGGATTCTGGTTCTCATACCTGGGATATTAATATGGGGGATTCTGGTTCTCATACCTGGGATATTAATATGGGGGATTCTGGTTCTCATACCTGGGATATTAATATGGGAGATTCTGGTTCTCATACCTGGGATATTAATATGGGGGATTCTGGCTCTCATACCTGGGATATTAATATGGGGGATTCTGGCTCTCATACCTGGGATATTAATATGGGGGATTCTGGTTCTCATACCTGGGATATTAATATGGGGGATTCTGGCTCTCATACCTGGGATATTAATATGGGGGATTCTGGCTCTCATACCTGAGATATTAATATGGGGGATACTGGCTCTCATACCTGGGATATTAATATGGGGGAGTCTGTCTCTCATACCTGGGATAGTAATATGGGGGAGTCTGGTTCTCATACCTGGGATAGTAATATGGGGGATTCTGGCTCTCATACCTGGGATAGTAATATGGAGGATTCTGGTTCTCATACCTGGGATATTAATATGGGGGATACTGGCTCTCATACCTGGGATATTAATATGGGGGATTCTGGCTCTCATACCTGGGATATTAATATGGGGGATACTGGCTCTCATACCTGGGATATTATTATGGGATGGGGGATTCTGGCTCTCATACCTGGGATATTAATATGGGGGATTCTGGCTCTCATACCTGGGATATTAATATGGGGGATTCTGGCTCTCATACCTGGGATATAATATGGGGGATTCTGGTTCTCATACCTGGGATATTAATATGGGGGATTCTGGCTCTCATACCTGGGATATTAATATGGGGGATTCTGGCTCTCATACCTGGGATATTAATATGGGGGATTCTGGCTCTCATACCTGGGATAGTAATATGGGGGATTCTGGCTATCATACCTGGGATAGTAATATGGGGGAGTCTGGTTCTCCTACCTGAGCAAACCACATTGGAGAGTCTGTTTCTGCCATCTTTGTCATAAATCGAAGGTTCACATGTTTCCCAATGAGGAGTTCATTCATGGGCTCCATCTCCAGAAGTCCTGTATCATCAACAGTGTCTGCTGTATCCACAGTTTCAAAATCCCAAACCTTGAAAATAGATAATGAAGCTCTTAGCAGCAGGGTATGTAATTGTCATCTACCTAGCCATAGCTTCTCAGTTTAAGATCCTAGTTAAACTACACATCATGGTACTGACGATACATCCGTTATTTATCCCAGGAATATTTGTTGGGACAGTAAATAACTGCAATCCATTTACATGTATGGATTCAAATATGTGGACTAGAAGTGGACTTCTAACACCTGGTTCAAAACATCCTGTAAAAGAGTGAATCCGATTATACGAAATGGATCAAACACACCTAGATATCGGATATCACCTAGAATGCCAAACCGATTCT